TGGGAAAGGAGGAAGTTTCCGACAATTTCACAGGTTTCGGCGCCGTCGAAGCTGCCCATGGTTACGTCAAATGTAGTGTTCCCTTTTTTTGCCAGGGAGGGAAACCCTGACACTGTACACCCCAAATAATCGTACTTAAATAGAATAAATATTTGTTTACAGATTTTGTTTAATTGAAATTAGCCTGTATCCGTAATTGGATCCCGCTTTGTCTTCCCCTAAGTTGACTTCGGTCGTGTATCTTAAATAGATCCTTAGTTGGGTTTCATATGGGTTTATAGGCTTCCCCTACCCTGTCACCTTGAAAATTAAATTTCCTGGGAGACCACGTCTCTGATCACGTAAATCACATCTTCGATTGCCGTGTTGCCAGCATGGTTGTCCTGATACTGTAGTGGTCATCACACCTGACTAGTAACAGGGCGACGTGCGTTCAAATCCCGCTCAGGGCAAATTTGCTTTTCAAACATTTATTCTATTTAAGTTTGATTATTTGGGGTGTACAGGGTCAGGGTTTCCCTCCTATAAAGAATTTGTTTAATTGAAATTAGCCTGTGTCCGTAATTGGATCCCCCTTTGTCATCCACTAAGTTGACTTCGGTCGTGTATCTTTAATAGATCCTTAGTTGGGTTTCATATAGGGTTATAGGCTTCCCCTACCCTGTCACCTTGAAAATTAAGTTTCCCGGGAGACCACGTCTCCGATCACGTAAATCACATCATCGATTGCCGTGTTGCCAGCATGGTTGTCCTGATAGTTTTTTTTATATTTGAGGTGGACAGCCAGGCTCCCGTGAGGGCGGTGCAATGCCTGCCGACCGAACTGTCTGGTCCAACCCAAGGCGGGAGTGCAAGGCCCTAGGGTTGGGTCCACCACAAACTGAGGGTCACCATACACCAACTTCGGTTGGGAATCGAACCCCACCTCAACCAAAATTTAACACGCTCACTCGAAAACTAACACACTCACTCAATAATAATAGCCCCGAGCCAGCCACGGGGTGGCACACACAAAAAGACAAACAATAATAATAGCCCCTAGCCAGCTAAGGGGTGGCCCACGAAAAAAACGAAACATACATAGAACAGGACACAGAAGGCGATTTAAACAGAGAACGCAAGTGAGCTATTGGCGACAGAAGTGACAATGCCACGGGCGCCCCACTGCCGATAGAAGAAGCGCCGGCGCCTGAATTACTTGAAACGTTTGAAGAAGATGGCGAGATGGAACTTCAGACGGGACAGGATGTTAGCCAGGACCGCCACAGCGCCGGGACGGGTGCTGCGGAAGCGGAAGTCGTTTCGGGATTGCCAGATACAGAATTTGGACAAGTTCAGGAGATACACAAAGATACGGGGGGGTGGCTACCAACTCATTAGAGTTGAAGCCGAAGAGAACGTGACGGACCAGGAGGACAGGACACATAAGGGAAGAACAGAACATGAGAGACTGGAGCCAGGAAAGAACACTATGCGCGAGAGGACAGTAGAAAAACAGATGTTCCAGGGACTCCAATGGAGCACCACAGAAGCAGGGGAGGGGGACTGACAACCCGAAAGAAACCAGGCGCTGGGCGGTGTACAAGACGCCACGAGCGATTTTCCAGTTCAGATCGATAACCGGGCGATCAAGATCGAAGAAGGTCAGGGAGCGCCACGTGGCTGATCAATCCAGAGAAGGAAAAGTGAAACTAAATTTATCGACGCAGCGCGGCTGGACCATGTTTTCAGATAGCAAGTAGAGGTAGCAGGATTTGGTGGACATGTCAGTAACAGGGGTGCAAACATGCGGACAGGAAGAGCCGAAGACAAGGCAGTTTTTGGACACGGAAAAAGACCCATTGAGACCACGCCACGCCAAGCCAGGACCAGGGAATGATAAATGGGCGGCAAAACCCTGAGATCAAAGGAGAAGGGACGATAAAACACAACCGGAGGGGGAACACCAAAAGCAGAATGACACCAAAAGGAAAAGAAGGTATACCAGTCAGATGGGGAGGAGGCGAGCCTCCTCACCCACTGACCAAGGATAGCCCACACTTTGTAATGAACATCTACCACAGAGAAACCACCAAAGAGGGGGGGGCTGGATCACGGCAGAGCGGGCCACAAGCTCCCACTTGCCGGACCAGAAAAAGGAAAAAAATAAACGAGACAGCTCTCTCCCCGCCCAGACCGGCATGTGGACGAGGGATGCCACATACCAGACCCGAGCGAGGGCAAGAGCATTGATTACCAGGGCCTTTCCGCGAAAATACAAAGAAGGAGAACGCCAGGATTTGAGAACACGATCCACCGCATCGATAGTCTTTTGTACTCGTTTGAGTCACCTATGTGGTTGCTGACTTTTTCTGGTGGGTCCGAACTTTGTTGCAACCCTTCCAGGTTTTCAGCTTAGCTGAACTTGGTGGGTTTTGCCTTTGAGGCAGGCTCTCTGGGTCTTTTTCCTCTCACTTTCCCGGTGCTATGGTGTTGCCTTGCGCCAGAACGTGCGTCGTGCACGCCACGCCGGCGATTACGGTCTTTCCAAGGCCGGAAGTGCCCTCCATTTTGGAAAAGGTAGTCGATTTTGAGAAATTGTCCGCCTTCCAATTCGTACCAAAAGGCCTTAACCGTCTCACCTTTAAAGATCCGGACGATAAGGATAGTATTGTTGAGCGTGGCCTACTGAATATTAGTGGTGTCAACTTCAGTGTCACAGATTCCAATCGGCCTCATTCTTTCGTCTACATCCATCATTACCCTGCCGAAGGGGATGATGAAATTTTGTGCGACGATTTTCGGCATTTGGGCAGAGTTTTCTTTTGCAGGCGCCAATCGTTTATGGGGAGACCCGACAGGGTTCACGCATTCTTACAATGTCTCTCGACAAGCCCATCCCAGCTGAAGTCACCATCGACGGGTATCCCGTTCGCGTCTGGTATCGTGGCATAAAACCGTTTTGCTCAATCTGTAAAGTTATGGGCCCTAAAGCAACCGACTGTCAATATAACGGAAAGTGAATAAGATGTGGTGAAGCCGGTCACTGGGCTCGCAACTGCCCTTCCCGTCGCAATGGTAATGCCTGGGGGCCTGTGCCCTCAGGAGCCAATGCTGCCCCCCCCGGCGGCTGATTTCCCGCCAATTTCGGCTCGGAATGCGGCCACCCCCTCAGTTAATGTAGTGAGTGCTCCCATTCCCTCAATTACTATTGAGGACAATACTGTTGACGCCCCGAATGTGGCAGATGGAAAAGATCTTGTCGAAGATCTAACTATTAGTGAGACGATCATCACCGTCATTAATGAAGCAAGTAGTGAAGCAAATAACAAAGTGAATAATGAAGTAAATAATGAAATAAGTAATGAAATAAGTGCCGAATGTATTAGTAAGCAACCTGAGGCTTCAGTTAAAGAAGTTAATAATAATCCTGGTCAAAGTACCAGTCAACTAATGAATGAAAGCAATAGCACTATAGTGGAAAATAAGGATGAAGATATTACTGAATTTAGTTCACAAGACTCTACCTCTGTTCAGGGCTCTGAGTCCCCAGTTCTCTCTGAGTTCCCCTCCCCCCTTGTGCGGAGTGTGTCCTCCGATAATTTCCAAACCGTCACCAGAAAGCGTCCTGGTAAAGCTCCTAAGCGAGTGATGATCCCGACCTCCGCTCAGTTGTCCAGTGCCACTTCTAAGCGGTCCAAGGCCGTGCCCAATCTTCCCAAAAGGAAGGGAAGGTCCCAGCCCTGGCTTTCATGAGGGTCTTTCACCTTTTCCTCATGACTCTAACTGTAATTACGTTGAATGCCAATGGTATTAGAGCCCGGCCCAACCGCGAAGGTCGTGTGCAGTGGTTGCGATCTCTCCATGGGAATGTGAATTTGGTCTGTCTTCAGGAAACACATTGCACATCTGCCAACGAGTGCTCTTCTTGGTTCCTGTCTTCTGGTTTCGTCTCTGTGTGTTCGCCTGGTTCTATCCACCCTATCTTTAATCAATTCTTGGTGTGACACTGACGGACGTCTTCTTCAATGTGAATTCTCTTTCCTATCCAAGTCCTTCCGTGTGGTTTGTTTGTACGCGCCGAAAAAGCAACCCTGCACGAGACCTTTTTTTTGGACAATATCCACCCCTGAGTGGACCCTACTGTCCCCACACTCCTGTGTGGTGATTTTAATGCCGTGTTTGATCGTGTTTTGGATAGGAGGGGATCCGATCCTTCTGATCAGTCCCGGGAGAGCTCAGTTTCTCTCCAAAGCTTGTTCGATGCCTGTTGTGTATTGGACATTTTTCGCTATCTACATCCACTGACCCCTGGGCTTACCTGGACGAAATGGAATGGTTCCTTGGCTTCACGCATAGACTTGGTAGGCATCCCCTTTTCCTGGGTGCCATCTGTCATGTCGTGTTCTGGGCTCCCCTATCCTTCTTCTGATCATTGTGGGGTTCTTACCTCGCTCTCAATCCCCGATTCCATTCCTCCCGGCCCTGGCTTATGGAAATTCAACACGGCCATTCTGAAAGAAGCCGAGTACATCAAGCTGGTTTCCGACTTTTGGCTATCTTGGCAGGTGTCTAGAAGGGCCTTCTCTTCTATCCAGAAATGGTGGGATGACGGCAAAAGCCGCTTAAAAGGGTGAACCATCAAGTGCTGTCAGGCAAGAACCTCTGCTAAAAAACGCAACCGGGATGTGCTTGTCTAACTCATTGACCACTTGAAGGCCAAAATGGACACTGGAATGGTTTCAGTTGCTGCACCGTATCAGTCGACTCTTGCAGCACTCGCGACCTTGGACCGTGAAACGGCCCTGGTGCCCAGTTCCAATCTCGAGTCAGGTGGGTGGAGGAGGGGGAACTCTCCACGGTATACTTTTTCCGTCTCGAAAAGAAACGTGGGGTGGATCGTTGGATCCCTGCATTGAGGGCGAGCGGAGACTCCATTGTCATCTCTCCAGAGGACTTGTGTGTTACTCTCAATTCCTTTTACTCTGATTTGTTCTCTGCTGCTCCGACAGACCCCCTTGCTCAAGCTTCCCTATTGTCCAACCTTTCGTCCTCCCTTTCCTTAGACCAGGCTCGTGAGTGCGAGGGACTCCTCTCCGCGGAGGAGTGTTTTGAGGCTCTTAAAGGGATTGCAAAGAACAAAACCCCTAGTGTCGATGGGTTCCAGGCCGAGTTCTATCTCAGGTTCTGGGATGTTCTCGGTCGGGAACCAGTTTCGGTCCTCAACGCCTGTTTTCATTCTGGTTCTCTCCCCCTTTCTCTGCGTAGATGGGTCATAATACTAGCTTTTAAGAAGAGTGACCGTCTAGATCCACGGAAATGGCGGCCAATCACCCTCCTAAACGTAGATTATAAAATGGCGTCTCGAGCCATTGCTGGTCGGCTCCTGAGGGTAATCCATTTGGTAGTAAGTAAGGATCCGACTTGCGGTGTACCTGGCAGGTTCATCGGCGAAAACGTTGCCCTCGTTCCCGACGTTGCACACTACACCATGTCCACCGGGACCCCTGCGGCTATCCTGTCCTTAGACCAAGAAAAGGCCTTTGATCTGGTCGATTGGGGGTTCATGACGGCCACTCTCTCCGCTATGGGCTTCGGTCCTTCCTTTATTGCCTGTGTCCGTTTGTTCTACCGTCGGGTTCAGAGCACCGTACACGTCAATGGTTACCTCTCCCCCTTTTTTGACCTTTCGCGGGGTGTTCGGCAGGGGTGCCCTCTGTCCCCATTGCCTTACGTTCTGGTCTCTGAAGTATTGGCAGCCAATATCCGTGCTAATTCGCGAATTTCTGGTCTTTCCTTACCTGGTTATCCTCCGCTATCACCTATCTCCCAGTATGCGGACGACACCTCGCTCGTTCTGTCATCTGACGAAGCTATAATGGCCGTTTTCGAAGTGTACGCCCTTTTTGAGTTGGCCTCTGGTGCAAAGCTTAATCAGGGAAAGTCTAAGGGCCTTTGGTTGGGCCAATGGGTTGGTCGGACTGACCCCCCAGTTGACCTAGACTGGTCACCCTCCAGGCTGAAGATCTTGGGTGTTTTTGTTGGAAGAGGCGAACTGGAAGAGGCAACAAAGTTCGGACCTACCAGAAAAAGTCAACAACCAGATAGGTGACCCAAATGAGTAGAAAAGACTGGCGTTCCCTCCCGGCAGTTACTTAGCACAGTGAAAAATGTAAGAGAATAAAGTAGAATACTTACGATCTCCTTACCAACCAAGCTTCGGAGAAGCGCCTACCCACGTTGCAGAGAGAAAAGCCCGCGTCCTGATAGTGTACTGGTCATCACACCTGACTAGTAACGGGGACGTACGTTCAAATCCCGCTCAGGGCAAATTTTCTTTTCAAACATTTATTTTATTTAAGTATGATTATTTGGGGTGTACAGGGTCAGGGTTTCCCTCCTATACAGAATTCGTTCAATTGAAATTAGCCTGTGTCCGTAATTGAGTCCTCCTTTGTCATCCGCTAAGTTAACTTCGGTAGTGTATCTTTAATAGATCCTTAGTTGGGTTTCATATAGGGTTATAGGCTTCCCCTACCCTGTCACCTTGAAATTAAGTTTCCCGGGAGACCACGTCTCCGATCACGTAAATCACATCTTCGATTGCCGTGTTGCTAGCATGGTTGCCCTGATAGTGTAGTGGTCATCATACCTGACTAGTAACAGGGGGACGTGGGTTCGAATCCCGCTCAGGGCAAATTTTCTTTTCAAACATTTATAACTAACTGCAGACAGTACTGTTTCGGCCTTCTGGGCCTCATCAGTGCAGTGCTAATGCTAGGATGGGGGAGAACCGAGACGGTCACCCCAAACGACCCAACCTTTGTGGTATCGTCTAAGCCATGCCAGAGTGCTCAAACTAGAGTAAACCAGCGAGCATGCGCAATATATATATATATATATATATATATATATATATACTTCCTATATATATACCTCCTTGACTTGGTTTAGGATATACTTTATTCGGCAATCCCGTTCATAAATGGTTGTGGACTAAGGAGGCTCACAATTCAACTGATTGAATTCAAGTCTAAATAATACGTTCGAACTTCTTACATAAATAACATGCCACCAGTGTAGCGATATGGTAGACATTTATAGTAGATGACATGATAAATATGGTGGGTGCGTTAAGTTATAATATGAAACTCAATGCATTCCTTGGTGTTCCGATGATTCAGAAGACACTTCAGACGACTTTGCGTCATGACGTACTGCTGATCACGAAGTGCCCTCTTTTCTTGTCAAAACTTTCTTAGACTCGTATGAAAGGAAAGTTTAATTTTTTTCCATTTGTTGCCAAGCTCAGTGATAGCAAATTAGCTTTGTGCCCTTCCGCCGATCAAATAAAAGAAACAGGGAAAAAACGAAGAATAGCAGGGAAACCGCCATCATTATCTCTGCTAAGTCATACATTTTACGGAATACATCGATGATGCACTCAAGGCCATCTCAGAGAGCGGGATATTCGAAAACATGTTCAGACCTCACTTCTGTGTACTTCAAAATATGTAGTGATGGGAAATGATGCGTGTATGCTTAGATGTAAAAAAGCATTTGCCAGTAGCAGGCTTTTTTTCCAGATACCAAATACAACTTAAGTCTCTAATCAACTCACTAGAAACATACCAACCAATGCTATACATGAACCTTAAATGCACCATGATCTCTCTGCAGCAATATTCGATATTAATATACGATATAATAGACTCAATATGTAATTATTGTTCTAAAAGGTCTGAGTGAGTCCAGTAATTATACGAGTGATCAGTAAAATGGGACGACCGCGAAGTGGGAGTCCGATTTGTTGATTACGAATATGATTGTAGACCGAACTATAGGACACAAAGTCCTGTTAAAAATTAATCAAATTGTGAAATATGTTGAGAAGCAAACCATCCTTTGGTTAACGACTTGGAGAAAATAGCACTGGAGTTTACTCGGCGAAATTTGCAGTTTCAGTGCCCGCAAATGACGCGTTCTGTACAATTACACAGGCAGACGCGCGCACAGTCCGATAACCCAGTTCAATTACAAGTATGACGCGTACAGAGTCCTATTAGCGCTCAAACGAGCAGGCCGGATAACCAATCATGTTCGCACATTTCATCGTAAGTTTGATTACGCATCTAAGCAACCTAGTGTTCTTTAATAGTTTTGGCGGTAAGGGTATCCAACATCATGGTAAAGAATTCGTAAACATTTGTTTCCTGTTGATGACAGCTTCGTCGTTTTAGTTATAACACTATGCTAAAAACAGTGTGACAAAAATGAAGTGTCAGGTAACCTTTAACCCTGAAATGGAGTTAAGAGCCCTCAAAAGGTGCCTAAGAAAAAATGGCTTAATGGAAAAATCATCTGATACCATTGGTAAACATGAAAGGAATCCGAATGGGAGTATTGTTCTATGCTTCGCCCTGGACATTGAAGCAAAACTTAATTTAGAATATACTTTCACCACTCAGTGTCCATCAACTTGCAAGGACAACTAGAAAGGACCTTTCCTAAGTACTCCCATTCTCCTTTCAGCGGTGGCGAAGGCCCCCCGATGACTGGTCTGCACAAGTCTCTATCCCCTCTTATTGCCTTGTGCACCACAGCTGTTCTTTTCGCACCTTTCTCTTCCTTTTGGGATTGAGGAACTGTCATACGCGAATGTAAAGGCCGCCAAGGACCTGATCGACTGAAAAGAGTTGGCAAGCGAAAGTGAGCCAAATTTTGCTCCCTGGAGGGCACTCCAAACGGTAAGAAAGGGCGGTGACGAGGATGAACGGGTGGGTGAGCCATTAGCCAGGTTCCTTTCCTGTGGCCATGTCGAGACCATGGGACCCAATGTTTTGCTTTGGTTTCCTCTGATCCTTCATCATCGTCATCGTCATATTCATCGTCGTGGCCACGTGGAATGAAGATATTGTGCTGGTAATCCCAGAATCCTTCATCGCTGTCTTTTTGAGCCATAACCACAAGAGGATGCGAATGGCGGCTATATCCCCAGAAGTGGCGCCTGTTGGGAATCCCAAAATGACGGTGAAATCTAGGATAATGAGATAAACCAAACCCATGAAAGAATCCGAATGGTTGTATCTTTCGATGGTAATGATGATCATTTTTCCAAGCATTTTGTCTCACAAAACCTGGTTGAGAGGTAAACGTATCATCTGTGTCCATTAAGGATGAATGTTCAGGAGGCTCCTCTTGAGAATAAGCTTCTTCAGTGTCCATCAGAGTACTGCTTGGCATTGTCATATCTTTCAGCACATCCTCAATATCTTTGCTTTCTGTTTTCATTTCCTTGTTAATAGTTGTTTTAACTTGATCGTTCAAAACATTCATCACCTGGTCCAGCTGCAAACTGGGGCCATTCGCTGCTTTCAAGTTTTCGGAATAACCATCACCTTGAAAGGCTGAAAGAATATTTGCAAGACCATGCTTTTTTTGACATGTCAACATCGTTGTTCCCGCTTTCTCATTTATAGTATCAGCATGACAATCTAGCTTTTGTTTTCCTTGTTCATTTGCAAATGAAAATTGCTTTGAGTATCCCTCTTTGGCTGAGCCAATTGGTATTACCTTTCCACCGACTGAAAGAGATCCGTCAATTCGTTGCATTGGATTTAATACGATATTCAAGGTAGGAACGTCTTGAGCTTGCTCTGCCACCAATTGATCCCCTCCTAATAGAAATCCACCGGTAGCATCTTCCGCAAGCTTCTCTTGAACCTTTCGTTGTGCTTCCTGCAGGTCAGGACGGGAAACCTCTTCCATTTGAAGGTCACCAATATCACTTGTTAGGTCCTGTCCAACCTTAACAAAATGATGACCATTATGCGTGGATTCCTCTCGGCTATCGGAGGTAAAATCATCTTTTTCATTCATTAAGACATGAGCATCAGTGTTCTGTTTAGGAAGCTTGTGCTCTTCTTTCCGAGATGTACTTAGTGAACTATCAGCTGGGGCTTTTTTTTGATGCCTTTCTATCTCTTCAGATATTTTTAAGGCAGGCTCAATGTCTTCTTGAAGAAGTGACAGGGGTGCTATCTGTTTGTTGCCAAGTGCTCCATTCCCTTTGTTTTCATTGACTGATGTTTTATTCACGGCTTGAGTGGCGGAATGACTAATGTTGACATTTCTATGATCGTTGGTAGATAGGAAATCATTTTCTGGTAAAAACTGAGATGGGCTAGTCTGTGGTATGAGCAAAGTGTTTTCATTAGGCATAGAAGCTTGAGTTGCAGTTGGGCCTGAAATGATGACCGTGACATGACCATTTGCGTTTGTGATCTTTTTACCTGCATCATTTACTAAAACATGATATGTCTCCGGTTCCTGAGAGTTAGTACTTATCTTCTTAATTATAGCAGATGGCTGTTGTTTAATTTCTTTTTCTGAATCAACTGTCACATTCGGTGATCTATGGGAATCCTTTATCTCAGACTGGACAGCACTCATGCTTTGCTCTAAAAGTTGGATACCTCCACTAAGTGCAGAGGAATTTTTTTCGTACAAATGACCTGTGGAATCTGCTGAAATTTGAAGGATGGTTGCATTTTCTCCATTTGCACTTTTTTCATCGCTAGTGATCGGAATGGACGAGTTATTTATTGCAGACGTACCATTTCCTATCATATTTTGTACGAATTCGCTTTTTGTTTGCTCACGATCAGTTTTATTCTCTTTATACGGGGTCCCGTGATCAATGAGCTCGTAGTTACTTTGTAAGCTCGTTATTGAGTTTGAGCTTATTTGTGTTTTTGTTTCATTCGATTTCACATTATTGACCATACTATTATATACTGCTTTTTCAGTACCATTCTGAATAACTCCAGTCGCTGTAGCGTTTTCACCATCTGAAGCTTGCCACTGTTTTTCAATAGGCTCTGTATACATTGGGTCCAAAGTGTAAGAGTCCGTTAGACCAACTTGATTGGACACCATAGATGTCAGAGCACTCTGCAAGGCCTTAAAGCCTTTGGTTGCACTTGGTGTCTTATTTTCTTTGGCTGTATTAAGAAAGTTTGAAATATAACCATTGGCACTGTATGCATTATTTTCTGTTGCTGTGTTGTGGCGGGGAAATCCGTTTGCATCAGCTGAGCTCTGACCACCAAACCATAGAAAGTGGTTGCCAAGATTGATAACCTGCCGTGCAGATACAACTCTTTGCTTTTTATATCCTCTCGATGCGTGCTTCCTCTTTGGATATTCTGTATTTGAAGCCAATCTGTTTATACGTTGAAGCTTGGTCAAACGGTGCAAAACATCACTCCGCTTGTGTCTGTGGTCCTTATCTCTTATTGCTCCATTTAATCTCGCCTGGGAGCTCTTCTTTGAGAAAACTTCTCTGTCAGTATCAAATAGAGCCCGGTTTGCGCCAAATATGATCGAAGAAACTGAGGACGAATTCAAAGCTTTTGCTAAACTTTCGTCTTGCTGAACTTCCGTCTTTTCTTGCCGCCCCTGTAATGTGTTGAGTCTACGGGTTAACCCAGCTTCGTTTGAGTACGGTTCCAAGATATTTTCCGAGAAAGTTCGATCAGCTGATGATTCCTCTCGAAACGGTTGATCAGTGACCTCCAAGTTTACATTGTTAGATAGTGGTTCCGCCCTGGAAGCTAGTAAATCCGAATTGAACTTTTGCAGAAGCTTGTTAGATTTCCCTGTTTTTACTATCTCTTCCAGCAAGACCTTATCAAGAGTTTCGTTTAAAAAGTCACTGTTGCTTGGGTTACTTTTTACGTCCTTTGGTAAGTATTCAGACGACTTCAATGTATCATTCGGCTCAATGTGGATATGGTTACTCTGGTCAGAGCTCTTTAATGGAATCGTGCTGGGAATCTGAAAGTCGAAGGATTGACCTTTTCTTAAACTCAAGATGTTCACTTCAAGTGAAGGTGCTTTTGGATACGTTGCAGGCTTTTCATTGTTTTGTGACTGATTTGATTTTTGCGATGAATCAGCAGACTCCGCGCCACTAAGACTATTTTGCTCCTCCAATAATGTCGTATTGCCTGAGGTGTTATTTTTCCTAGATCCGAGTTCCGAGAGATGTAATACTGTATCTGAAACCGAGACGTTTTGTGTATATGCTTTACCTCTTTGAGCTCCAATTAAATGATTCATCGTATTTTCTGGCGCCTTAGTCTGAATCGCCCCAGAAACCGTTTGTTGCACTGTTTTGTTTGTGTTTGTGTCATTATGTGTGCTAGTTGTAATATTTTGTGCTGTAGATGACTGCGGTGTGGAACTACTTGGCGTCTTGTTTTGCAACATTCTCTCGGGAGTTGCCGTAAGCGGTGACTTTGTACCATAACCCCCAACGATGTCTTTACCTGTCTTCTCCAAATTTGTAGAATTCGAGAAAATTAGCTCAGCATCCCCTTGATCTGGTTTTAAATTTTTGATAAGATTTTCATTAATTTCATTCTTGTTACTTTTATTCAAGCTTTTCGTCTGGGTCAAGGCATTTGGCATGTTTCCCCCTGAGTTGGTAAGTATAATCTTAACGGGACTGTTGATATAGTGTGACTGATTTTTAGATGGGATTACTCTTAATGTGCTGGCCACAGTTGAAATATTTTGTTTGATATCCTTATCATGGCTATTCGCTTTGTTTTCCGCTGCTTTTTTCATCTCATCTTGTGCCCACTTAGCGCTATCCTCGTCATCAGAAGTTCCCAAAATTCCATAATCAGCAGTCTGCGTTGTTTGAGGAGATGTGGCAGTACTTGACGCGTTCCTGGAATGCTCATTGTCTTGTTTATTGTTTTCCTTTCGATGTGTTGTGTTCTTCTCAACCAAAATACTCGCAACAGCAACCTCTGAGAGCTTTTTCGCTTTCTGTTCAAAAGCGAGCCACCTGTTTGTTGATCCTCTTTTATCGTGGGTATTTCCTCCTGGATAAGGATAGATTCCACGTCCTTGCTTTGGTTTCTCATTTTTCTTTAGGGCAGGGGATAAATCTCTTCCTTGCAATTTATTGTTCACAGACGACAAGGAAGGTACAGGTTGTTTGTCATCTGAAGATTTTAAAAAGATAACTTTAAATTTTTAGTGGTGCCTGTGTAACTAAGGTTTGGTGATAAATCATTGTAAAATACAAAGAATTAAGGTCCCGTCCTATTTTCAAGGCAAAACTTCTATGTAGATGATTTATTTGTGGCCAGTTGTTGCACGATCGACTATGTGTGTTGATATAATTCCTCTTGGAGAAAATATGACTTAATAGAATTGCAACAGACTGCAATAACAAGGATTGCTTGACATTGAATGAAGCTCTAAAGACTCGTAGAAGTGTTACAATTTTAATATGCGTTTAATTAGTTTATCGACATTTTATTCTAATAAACTTTATTCTAATAAACTTGAAATTTACCTGCTGAAGCCAACAGGAATCCCTTCAGGAAAAAAAAGACTAACAGGTTCACCACAAGCCTGTGTCTTACTCTTGGGAGAAAGAAAGGAAGTCAGACAGATAAGCAACAGATTCCAGACTACAAAACATTGTAAATGATATGAATTCGATAGGAGATAGTTAGCTTGGGCTAAAAGCAATTCAAAATTCGTCAAAGTAATTCAAAATTCTTCAGCCACCTGCCTAAAGAACAACGTCAAACATGTGTCACATTGTTCTATTAGACTTTGCTATAATTGGCTCGCGGAGAAAAACTAAACCAGGGGAAACTGTGTGATATTGTTGTGTCTTCACGGTGATTGCTGTTATGTATTATCGCATTTGGGCAATCATGAAATAGATCAGAAGGCCTTCACTGTTACCCTGTCTTAAAGTAAACGATAATCTAAGTGCCCGAAAATGTCAGTCCTGACTTAGGAAACTTGCACTCACAGAAGAGTATTTCGAATCATTACTTTTAAGAGCTGTTCTCTTACTCATCTTACCTCATTTTGTAGCCACAAATGGGCTCAATCGTTTGTTTAAAGAAATCAATCTTTCCCAAGATTCTCAGTCTTAGTTTTTTTGCGACGTGAAGTACATTCTATTTCCGTGATCTAAACGTGTAAAAAGAATGAAGTGATAAATATTTATTTCTTTTGAGGATCAGTGATTTTTTCTTTGCACTACATAATCTTACTGGCTGGTGTTTCGCTGTGGACTACCCGGTTTTGAAGAGGTTCGACCCGGGAGACTGCATTTGTTTTTTGACTGGGACGTAAGGTCACTACCTTGGGCCCGACGCCTTGAACTCCAGAAAAAGCTTTGGATATTTCCTAAGTGTGGGACTGTATGTACTGCTATAATTTGTTGATTGACTAGTAGGCAGCTAGCGACGTTAGTTCTTCTGAGCCATTTTCAACCAAGGTGAATAATGGTAAAAGGAGAGCCACTTTATTCGATGTTCGGACACAATGGTCAAAAATACTAGGGTGAAGGATATGTGAAAGTAAAGGAAATTGCGACTTTTAAAATGTTTTGACCCGGCGTATACGACTGGTACCAGTTTATGGTTAAATACGTGCTTTAGATTCTCCTCCCTCTTCTTGTCCTGACAAAGAGGGCATAAACTCGAACATAAGTCAGATCTTAAAGCAGCTCACTAAGGAGCATATCCCGATTTGTAAAACGATGAAAGTGGCCTATAAAAGTTGCATTTTCTCACCTGAGTGTGAAAATTTAGGTACCAACCAGCATTGTTTGTCAACTCTCTAATACCCAATATTTATCCATGTTTCAGAGGCATTGCAGTAACAAAATGCAGCTATTGTCTAATAATGTGTTTTTGGGTGTCGAGAACCAAAAAGGTATGTGCTATCCTCATAAGGGATAGAGAAACGATTTTGGTTTCTTATTCATCACGAAAGGCTATAAGCGCAAGTCTAAGTTTCTTGGACCACGTTGCAGCCTTCAATCGAATCTAGGGCGCAATAATGTTTTTATCTATAACTCCACGAAGGACCAGTAATGCCCTTTGCTCGAGGCAAGTTCGAACCGCTTACCGATAAGAGGAGGCCATTTCCTACACAACTTGAATTTAAAAACTCTTTAATATCAAGCTTTGTCTGAGACATACCAGAGATATGGGGGAGATATTCAGGAATTGTTTGGACCTCCATGAAGAGGGTAACTACCGTAAATCATGGGACAAATGAATAAAGGGGGAAAGTTTCTAAAGAAATTGTGGCGCGGCGTTGGTGGGAATAGGAAGGTAAGTTTGGTTTTATCACCTGAGTTGATAAAGTAAATTGACCATCATAAGGAGTTTCAAAGCTGACACTTCGAGCGACAACCCTTCTTCAGAGCGCATGCAGAAATTGTGGGTTATGTGTGTGTGTTTATATGCAGAAAATGGAGCTATGCTATTGGTGAGAACGTGGTAACAAGAAAGAAACAAGAAAAAATTAGTTGAGTGAAACGCGTTCGTTGATACAGCGGGGATTAAGGGTGCAATTTTGAAAGATAAACTTTTGTTCTAGAGTTTTGCGGCTTTCAGAACTACCTAAGTTTAAGGAGAAGGCGGCAGACTGCCATATGTTACTCAGAATGATTTGGCAGATTAAAGTGTCTAACGACTGGTCTGGATGCGTCCTTGTCATTCCTTTCTAAGTCGTGAAGGTATTCTTGGAATCGGTCACCCAATCGTCTTCCTCTTTTAACAATGTAAATTTTTTGCAGTAAGGGCAAGTTATAACTTGCCCTTACTGCAAAAAAATTTACATTGATGACATTTACAATAGATGACATTGGCGGAGTTGCACGTGAAGTGACCACTAATCTTAATGGATCGTTTGGGTTCCGATATCTTCTCAACGTTTACAATGAACGGACAATTTTTGTCATACGAGCGCGTTTAAAAGTTCCAGGTTGGTCATTAGTTTGTGGTGAACCTCTGACCAAAAAGTTGCCTTTGTTTTTGTCACGTTTGAATGAAATAAGTGGACGTTGCGAAAAGATAGTACCGGTCTCTGGATCGTTTTGAAGTAATTTAAAGTTTTCTAAGAATGATGGATTTAACTGCGGGGTTATAAGGGTGAAATGTGAGAGTGAATGGAATGTGGTCGCTATTTTCCTAATGTGACGTTTGTAGTGCTGACTGTCGATCAGTTAGTTGGGCGCGGTAGTGGGCCGCTTGAACGAAAAGTTCATGTGCCAGTTTTTTCGAAAAATTGGCACATTACCTCTGATTTGTCGAAAATATCATTACTATTTAAACAACCAATTCTAAGAAACTAAGAAAAAGGAATGGAATTTTGACATGTGATGGAAAAGTAAATGAATACAAAAAGTAACTATGTGAGTCTGTCGATTTGTAATGTACACTAGTGCATAAACCGTTGCCTTCAAATGAAACTTAGATGTCTAATCAAAGGAAACTGTGAATAAGTCGTGGGTACATTGCGTTTGAATGAGTTTTGAAGATAATTAAATTCCAATGGGTGACTCCCGGATACAGTTGAAACTACTTAGTATTACTTTGAACTACTGGGGTGATGTTGAGTGAATGGTCAGAGTTCACATTTTAGCAATCGGTCAGTACAAAATACAGACTGCAAACCGGGTACGAAATGCAGACTAGGTACAAAATGCAGACTGCAGACTGCAGATTGGGTACAGAATGCAGACTGGACATTTTGAAAACTGCTATTTCGTCTGATACATGATAACATAGTGTCATCTTACAACTTACCGAGTGTCACGCAATCGCCTTTTAGCAATTACTTTCATGATCATCTGCACTATTTCGGAATATTCCTTGCCCGTTGCTTCGCATATTTTGTTTTTAAAAAAGTGGCCACTGAATTCTGTTTTTAAAAAAGCGGCCACCATCGTTCTCAAATAGAATTTCAAGCCACCGTATATTAAAAAAAAGACAGCTTTTGTATGTGTTACGAACTCTTCACCTTTTAAACCGATATGAGGATATTTTCATTTTGTGGACAAAAATGTGGACTTAAGACCAAAACTGTTCCTTGGACTTCATATATTTTTAACGTTCAGGGGAGTACACGCAATGATTTTCACAAATGAATGTCTGCGTAGTCACTAAACAGATGAGAGGTGAAACCATAGTTAATCCCCTCGATTAACTATGGTGAAACCATCAGAAAAGTAAACAATAGTCCATTTTAGCAGTTGTGTGCTAGGTTGCCAAGCCTTTGAACGGGAGTGAGGCTAGGGGTGACCTTGTTATGATACAAACCTTGCTACCTTTCAAATGTAAATCACTTTGTTATCATGCTAACTAGATACAGGTCTCTATCACAACAAGGTCACCTTCAGCCTCACTCTGAATCAAAGGCTTGGCAACTAAGTTCACAACTGTAACATGGCCTATTGACCAGTCACGAAAACAACGCTTCGCTTTCCTCTATAAAAATTTGCCGGTTGCTCATTTTAGCGATATATAATGATATAAATACTGACGGCTCGCAGTGAGAAGAATGACGGCTTGAAATTATATTTAAGAACGATTGTGACCTGGACGCTTTGTTAAAAACAAAACATACCCGGGAACGGCGAGGAATATTCCACAATGATGCAAGTGATGGCGAAAGATGATCGGGGAAAAGTGATTCTATTAAGCGTTTTCGCTCATAGTTACACCCTTAGTCTTTCAAAGGGCTTTAATTCGGTTTCACATGTGCTAAATGCGACGAGTATTTTAATTAAAATGGAAACTCCTTCGAAGAAAGGTCGAGTTAAATTTTAACGTCGCAGCATTATTTCTGAACTGTGATAGAGGCGTTCCCGTATAATTTCGGAAGGTCGCTATCAATATTGATCTACCGTCGACATATCGATTTGTTTACATCTGAGTGAGTGACACATTTGCATATTCTGTACGCTTCGCGTACCCACGACTAAAAATGACAAAGAATTGTCGGAAATTTTCCAGGTATATTTTAGAGACGGGTGAAAGGAATTGACAGCGGTTATAAATTGAGTTTACTCCTCCCTGGTAGACGAGGTAGCCCCGATGCAGTCTTCAATGTAGCAACGAAATGTTCAGGTTTGGGGCCTTTGTATTAACTGCGAAATTGATGTCGATAAAACCTACGAAAAGATTGCGTAGTTGGGTCCCAGTTTGTACAATGAAAATTATGACGAGAGAATCCCTTAAATATCATTATCCAATTTTGCGCAAGGTCAAGGGAAAATGCCCTTTTTATTCATGCATTTATATTCTCAAATACAGACAATAACCACACGTATACCTTTCAAGTTTATCTTTTCAAGTCATAGTTAATAGAAAATAGCGACGTAACTGACAGTTGCACATATGATACAATCTTATTTTTTCCACTCTGTTCTTGGCGCGAGTGGTTCGCCGATAATTTGATTGCGTATGTTTCTTTACTTCTTGAAGGTTTGTATAATATATAAAAGCCTTCGCACTAATCATGATCAGTTCGTGAATGGTGTCTGTTCACTTTTTAAAGGATTTTGACAATAACTGTCTACACGTAGCTCTATTAACATACATTCAGACCTATTATGGCACCCGTGATATTCCCACGCCCTCAAATGCTCTGAGCCTCTCTGAAACAGCTCCATGTTTTTAATAACCTCTTCCTTATTTTCTAGCGGTTACTCGAGTTTGGTTTCCTGCTCACTGGTTGGATTTCCTTATTTTGAAAAAAACCAAGACTCATCTATTACCACACCCCATCTCACCACCAAATGAAGTTTGATGATTAAATGCTTCTAATAGCTGAACTGTCAGCAGAGGAAATAACTTAACGGAGTGAATGCAGCTTTATCCAGCGCTTTTCTTGGTATTAGGTCTATTGCTTTGTGACGTTCGCGGTTTCTTTGATGAGAGGGGCAAACTTTTCCCTCCCTTTAAAACCTTTCCTCTTCTAAATGCAATGGATCGATCATTGTTTAAATCGTTAAAGTTTATGGAATCTTCGTCCTTGGATAAGACAGAGGGCATACCCATGGAGCCAACCGGTAACCGTAACCCATGTCCAAGGTTACTATCGAGGTCGAGTCGAGTAACTTTTGACATGGAAGAGCTTTCTGGTGACCGAAAACTAGAATGTAGCCTCAATATACGATCTAAATCAGGGTTCGTTTGCATCGGAAGATTTCCTCCTCTCGCTTGATTGTCGCTTATTTCTTCCACCACCAAATTATTACCTACTGATTGATGCAATGGTAAGCGTCTTTCACTGGCTTCATTCCGTTCTACGAAGTCATCGCCCTGCTTGGAAATGCCTTGGTCTTCTCTTTCATTTTCCATATACATACGCTGAGTAGGATTCGAAGTGTGTTGCAGCACTGAAGACGATATTGGAAGGTCGAATCCGCCAGCTCTTTGTAGAAGCGAACCTTCTTTCTGAGGTGCTTCCAACACAGAACTCTGAAATTCAGAACCTCTTGATGTTGGAGGGCCGAACGACTTGATCATCGAGGGAAATGTCGAGGGGTTTCCAATCATAGGAGATCTTCCTATGGGAGAACGACCACCCATGAAAGATGCACCTTTCAAAGGCAAGTTACCAACTGGTTGATTGGCCATTGGTGCAATAGCACCATTGTCCAACATTTGAGCATGAATAGGTTGCTCCGACGCCAAAGGTGTTCTCATGTCGCCTTGAAGTTGTAAGTTTGGCTCTGGAAGAAGTGGAGAGCTCTGAAGACCGTTGTTAAGTTGCGAGAAACTATTCCTTTCGGCTAAGTCTGAAAATGCTTCATTGCCTCCTGTCTCTTCACGGTTGTTGGCAAGAAGAAATTCTTGCATCATTTCGTTTAAAACAGAATTCCTGTCGGAACTTCCCATAGCCTGGCCAAGTATTTGGTGAATCAACTTCGAGCTGCCTTGGGTTGGCATTGGGCCAAATCCATTAAGTCCTTCACCATTCAAAGCCTCGTTAAGGCTACCAAAATTACCCGGCATTCCATGGCCGTACAGCCTTGCCTTTAATGACCTCAGCAAGGGAACCATTTTCAAACCATGATGATGCTTTCTACGTGTATTCAGAAGTGGATCACTATCCCAATTGTCAGATAGTCCATTTTGAATACCTCCTCCAAAAGGTGACTCGCTAGGACTGTTCATGTCATCTAGAAAGGGCATTTGATTGTATGATCCCCGACTCAGCTTACTCAGAAGTACCTTCTTTAACCATGGTATCATTCTCGTTGGCCATATCATGGCTTTCTTTGAATGGTGCTTGTCTTTACAAGCCTCGCTTTCATTTGAAATGTTAAAAAGTGCACAGAGAAGCTGGCGAATTCTAGCTTTTTGTTTATTTTTATCTTGACTACTGTCATTATCATGGGTTTTTCGTCCTTTAGGCTTAGAGCTGCTGATATCGATCTCGTTTCCGGTTTTATTTTCTTTCTCCCCGACAACTTTTTTTATATCTGGCAAAGTAGTTGTATTTCCTTGCTTAGTTTCCTTCTCTCCGTTGAGGCTTTTCTTTCTTGAAAATTTCCTGTCCTCATCTTTTCTTTTCTCCTCCGTGGAGTCAATCACAGATGACATGTGGAGTTTCCCGCCATCTTTATTTGAATCAGAGCTTTCCTTTAAAAGTACGCTCCCATTGTTATCCTGAAAAAAGCGAACAAGCTTGTTCCCCTTTTCTTTCTTATCCTTTTGAAGTCCTGCAAAGCAACAGAAATTGACTTACCTCAGTGTACAATTTAGGTATTATCATTATTTGAAAAATAGAATAGGCAGACAACAGAATTTTACCATTCGAGAGCTCACAGTAAACCCCAATCAGAACGACCGCTGTCAATATCACACTCATCGTAGTAGTTGACTGCAAAAATTAAATGAAAATGCAAAATTAGTCATTACTAGAAGTAATACAGCAGCTCTACAAATTATACTGTTTACACTTTAGTTCAATCACCATCAATGGACATCTATGGTCTGTCCAAAAAAGGTGATTGAGATTATAAAGTTTCGTGTAAATAGCATAAGAAATGTACTACTTCATTAAATGTTACGATAAAAGTTCAACGGAGTGTTCGTGAATGTTGTGATGGTGATATAATATTTCTTTAGGAAATTCTTTAACGAGAAATGCATCACTCCGGACTCTTTCTTAAAACATAATACGATCTAACGATCTATCGAAAGTGTCTTCTGAGAGTGATTACCTTTATTTTCGGTCCAGGGCTTAGTGAAACACCCCACTACATGTTATACACTTCCTTCACATCAGAGATCCTACCAAGAAATTGTATACAGCGTCAAAAGGACTTGTAAATCATGATCATTATTACTTTCTTAACGTCTGTTGTCGTGAAATAATGATGGTATTCCCTCTCAACCAAAATGATGTAAGGTATACTGTATTACTTATGCATGAATTAGCTCTGTTCCATATCTTCTACTGGTTTCATTTCATGAGGTTAGACGTTGTCATTTTCTACTTTTCAATTTTGCTAAATAGTTCTCTAATATTTCTTTTCTTTTCTTTTTCTCTGTCCAGAATATCATTGATCAAAGCAGACTATACTGGTAAACTCTCTCCCTTTGGCCTCGATTTCTCATCAAAAGAAACTTGCGGGACGGTAAACAGAGCATACAGCGTTAAAACTAACACCTTTCTCGGAAGAACAACACGTCTGAAATTTGTTAAGACAAAAGATGTGCGGTTTTTAGTGATAAGTTTGGCGGAAAATTGGTATCAATTCAACCAAATCATTGAAATTGCATGTTAGACGCTTCAGTGAGCAACCTGTTTCATCGGTTTCTGTAATAAAGGTGAAGCGAAGCGAAAACGCAAAAGGAAAATAAGTTTTTACTCTAGTTTTTATCGCTCTTTTTTATGCTGGCCATACAATAACTTAATTTATTTGTCTGACATTTAATTAAACATTGTTTAGTAAAATTTTAGGTAGACAGAGGGATTGCCTCTACTACCTTTACTGTTAATAATCAAGTCCACTCTAGAAATACTAGGTAAGCTAAATTTAATTTAGTTTGTCCTAAGCATATACGCGAGACAGAAGGTGGAAAGTCTTTCATAGTCAGAGCTTGCAGACTATGGAATAAATTATCTTTAGAATTAAGAAGTAAAGATTCTCTTCCTTCATTTAAGAAGAGTCTTTTTAATGTAATTTTTAAAGAACAGTGTAGTCTAAATCATTTTACTATTTAGCTTAATATTTACTCTTATTTTTAATTGAGGGCCACAAGTTCATTAGCTTTTAGCTATTTAGTGCTACCCTCTATAAATAAAATGTTTACTTACTTACTTACTTACTGCCTAGACCAGTTTTGTATCCACCTTGACTTCCAGAGCACGCTCTCTGGTTTCTGTTGCAAGAGACTATATCGAAGGAATGTTGCTGTTAATTCTGGTCGTTAGGCCGTTGCCTCGCAGCAATTCATTCAATTTCCCTAATAATTTCCCTTTAAAATCTGTACCTATAAAGGAGAGGAGCATTGTAAGAATAAAAATGTCCTCTCCCAAGAACACGAAATAATTTCTTAGCCCTAATTCAAATCACACCTGATAACTTTATTTTTTCTCTTTGTTTGTGGGAATGAGGGTTGGGTTGTTAGTAAAAGATGCACGCTGACTTCAATTGTAAACAGTGTAACCAAAGGCTAAGAGTGTAGCAGCACAAGAGTTGGCGGGCGGGCCTTGCGGAACTACACGCATTTCTTTTTCCTCTTTCTCTCTTTTTCTTCCATTGTGCTCCCCTGCAAAAAGAACACCTGATCCCAAGGCATGATAAAGCTAACTGGTCAGCCTTTTGGAGGTTTTTCTCTACTCGTTTTCATCCCTTCAGTCCAGAATTGTTGCCGGGTTGGCACCAGAATATATTGCTAATATGTTTAGTCTAAAAACCCATAGCATTAATCTATGTCGATACTACTAGATATGGCCTGCACTCTTTATCTTACTATGGTAGCGAACTATGGAACTCCCTCCCCAACACGACCAGGTCACTGCCAAAAGTTGCAGCGTTTAAATCGGCTATTCGTACCTTCGAATTTGATACTTACTGCTGTCCATTATGTAAGTAATTGTAAATGTTTATCCTATTGTATCAATTACTGAATTGTATATATAGTGTTTTATGTATTTATCTTATTCTCTATAACTATTTCATGTTATTTATTTATTTATTTTCTCGGAGATATTAGAATTTTTTTGATATTTTTTTGCTATTTTAAAGGTTTGTTGTTTGTTTGTTGTTGTTTGTGTAATCAGAGTGAGTGACAGCAGGAATCAAGGAACAATCATCAACAATCATAACCGTTGTAACCGAGCTTTTGCCGATCAGTTCAAAGTCCCAATAGACTTGTCTTATATCTCGTAAATAAAATACTATTCCTATTTACTATTTAGTTCTCAAAATAAATTCAGAGAAATACAATCTGGCTCATCTGACTGTCATTTGATGAAATTGCTGCTATTAATTCTATGATGCAATAGGAATAAACAAATTTCAGAGCTTCTTATAACATAGGTGTCGATTAGCTTAATAGGTTATCCTTGTAAAGAGCCAAATGAAGCATAAAATGAGTACCAAAGCGACAAAAAATCAGAACGCTATTGGCTCGGGGACCCGCTTTGATCAGGTGAACTAAATTTCATCTTTGATCATATGATAGTTATCGAGTATTCAGATTATTCACTCTCCCAAGATTTGGTATCACTAATGTAACAAAACTCTTAATTATTCCATCAGTGTGTTCTCTTAAGATGATCCATCCCCACACGTGACCTGTGATGAATTATACGTTTATATGAAAACCGCTTACGAAAAAGCTTGCGCTTTACATGCGAATATTTTTTGTGCTTTTTACGCGGAGACTCGTCTTCAACATGAACCATCCTAGAAAGTTCATCGATAGTTTTCATCAGCTTTTTTACTTTTTCCTGGAGTATCACTGAGCTTTTGGATGATGGAACTGATTCCTTTTTAGAATAAGTTTTATCTGACTTCATTAACTTCAACATTGCTTTAATAGCGACTTCAACGCTTTTCCTAGCTAGAGGATCCTTCACTTTATTGAACACAGCACCCAGAACTCTAGAAGCCTCAAGGTAATTAGCGGCGTCGTTTTCATTAGCGCTTGTTGTTACACGATTGTGTTCTTCAGTTTCAGTAGTAGTGACAGGTATTGTTGCTGAATTAGAACCAGTAAAACGCCCGGATTCGTTTTCCTTTTCCACATTTATGACTCGGTTACTTCCTTTGACATTTCCAGGTATTTCTTGATTTAATAGAGTGGATATAGAAAACGTAGGTAACGCCGATATTGTTGCTTTGTCAGTATGTACTTCAAACATTTGTTCAGACGGAGGGTTTGCCTTGGAAACCTCTAAAGTTGGATGATAATCAGAAATACTCGGTATAGTAGCAGTTTTTCCCAATTCACCTGTAGGTTCCATTTTAACACGATGGAACTCGGATGTAGATCCCGTTTGAAGGCGGTATTTGTCTGGCGAAAGAGCCTTAGTTGTCTTTTGGGAGATTTCTTGAGGACTGTTACCTGAATCAATTCTGATTCTTCTGGTTTCATTAGACTTTTTACTCCCATTTTCGATACCTTTGATTATATTCTCGATGTTTTTCGTGTCGGCATCAGGTAAAGAACTGTCATCTTTTGCATTCTTCGGGGAGTCTACAAGTGATAACTGAGTCCCTTTAGTATCAGAAAAGGTTAGTGGGAACGAGAGATTAGTTTCGAAGTTTCCAGATGTTTTGGTGTCCTTACTCACATCTCTTCCAGAGCTAAGTTTGTTTTGGTCAGACGAATGGCCGTGTTCCTTCAAAGTGTTCTCTATTTTCCCTACTGTTGACGAATCCAGCTTCAACGTCACGGTCTTACGTTGTGAGCTGTTTATTCTATCCATTTCGTAGATGTCTTTTAATTTGTCAACCAATAGAGAGAGCAGTAATTTTGTGACAACGTCAGACTTATTATCTTTCTTTTTCTTTTTGCTTTTCGCGTGATGTCTCGATTGGAGGTATGGGGACTTGTTTATGTTGTCGAGGTCACTGTTCGGTAGGTCATTGAAATCCATATTTTCATTCGGCGGGAGGGGTAGACCAAGGCCTGATTTTCCTGATTGTGAGTTTGCCAGCTTTTCCTCAAGTAAGGGATTGTTAAATCTTCTCAATTCAGAGTTTCCAATCATTTGAGGCGACAAGGTATTCTCTTCTAGTGGACTATTCGTTGTTAATCCTCCCACCGACGCCAGGCTTTTAAGATTTCCAAACATCAGATCTGAAAGGACGTCTTTTGTTAATCCATTGGGTCCTGTCAATGGATTTCCTGCTATGTTTTTATAATAGCTTGGCTCAACTCCTAATGGACGGCTAACGCTATTTTCAGACGCTCCTCTCTCTATCTGTGAAGCATATCTGGAAAGTGGTATCGGTAGGCCTTTGCCTGCTTGTGTAATAGAAGGAGACTGTGGCATACCACGAAGCTGCTGAGTTAGTTCGTTCAAATGGGCAATTTGATTTTCAACCTGCTCTGAAGTTACCTCAGAACTTGCAGGAATCCCATGGAAGGCCAGAAGTGACGGGTCAGTGGCTGATGTGGTACCGGCGAACGGACTGATCTGATGGATCCTGGGTGGAAGAATGAACTGTCGCGCCACCGTTGTTGTTGAATTATCACTGTCACCTTAAACCAAGATATGACTTGAGTCATTAGATAGTAAAGCAAAGATATTGTAGTCGTGCTGAAATTTGAACACACAGGTTTTTTTTTAGGATTTTTAAAAGATACCTGTTGTGATGGAGGCTCCAACGAAAGAGTAAAATAACGCAGTTAGGAGGAGGCCAATTTTGTAGCCTGTCATCTTTCATTTAAAGTATCGTCATAGTATTCGTGAGCTATTAGGAAAAAAAAATAAAGCGAGGGTGTTGCGAAAAGATCATGCATTGATTTAAATTATTATAAAACTGTTTTGTAAGCGTCTGATTTAACTTTATTGTCGACCAACTGTCCATTGGTTAATGTCTGTTCAGCAATAAGACCGACTTAATTCTTAACAGGTGTTTTTTCAAGGACAACTTTAAAGGTCATTTCTTAAGATCGATATGCAAGTAAACAAGCAAAATTGGTTTTTGATCGGTCATCTTGCTGCTCACTAGCCAAAAATTACCCAACCAAATCAGAGATACCTTCACTTGGGATCGCTTTGCTTCGCTTTATCACATCAAGGATTCTTCGTAAACTGATTTTACATTGCTGGACATGTTGACATTTTATTTAGACACTTGGTACTATATTGATACCGTGTTAATTATTGTTTTTAAATCAGTAGAGGAGATACAACAAAAGGGCTAGTAGGATTATGTGTTAAATTGTGATAATGGTCATTTCTTACCTTTCCCCGCAGTTAAGCCTTGATAACCGTTTAGAACTTAAATTATATTATCGTCCTTTCGACACTAACTGTTTAAGGTCAGGCAAACTCTGAGCAAAAAGATTTTCTTGGAATTCAAGATTTTAGCGAAATGACTTCATTCTCCATTTTGCAAAACTTCCCCCGTTTTGGCAATGTCACAATAAATATTTGATGAGCTACCATATTTGTCACCAAAAAGAACAAAGAAAACCTATTATACCATATGACATCTTTAAACAGATTTTAACGAGTGTAAGTGTTAACATACAAAGGTGGAGTGGTGCTGTGGGGAGTAACCAACAATGCATTACCAGTACATTAAAATAGAAAGGAAAGGGTTAATTTTGCCCTCTAGTTTGTTACAGTTTTAAAGGAAACTGTGGCTTGTTAGAAAACGCGTTGCAAATGAAGTGTCTTTGAGATCCTTGACAGTAGAAAAATTATGAATTGCAAACATTTTGGCAGGAAATTTCGATGGAATGTATCTTTTCCTCTTTTAGCCTTTCAAAAATCTCCTCAATGAAAGTTATGTCTTACAACTCCAGTTCAAAGGCAAGGTCTACGAGAAATAGAAAACTGACCATTTTTAGGAAATAAGACTTGGATTTTTCTCTCAAAAGCACCCCTCCTATTTGTTGTGGTATTGTAAAAATCATGCGATCTTTCAAATAAAAGTGTATGGTTCTAACGAGCCCTTATTTAAAAGCGATAAACAAAATAATTGTTGGTAACTTAGAATGGTAATTTAGAAACGATTCTTGAAAGTGACTTTAAAAGGTTTCAAGCAGCCAGCAGACTTCAAATATACGAAAAAAGCGTTATACTCCCCTCCTCCTCCTAGTATAAGGAGATTGCGTCCCCGATCATGGCAATTTGAGACTGCCTTTAAATTGTTCTTTAAACAAAATTGGTTCTCATTCTGGAGTAAAGAGAAGGAAGCAATGCTCTGAGGCTAAATCAGCGTATTCCTTAACGTTTGCTTAACTTTAAAGCGTCACAACATTTGAAAAACTAAAAAAACTGTCATTGTGTGCAGAGTTCCAAACATTTTATTGATGTTTTCTCACTCAGTTGACGAAATTCAATATTAAAAGGGCGAAATCAAAATATAGTTGCCTTATCAAAATATATCTCAATTGTCTCGTCCCTTTCATTCAGTGACATTCTTCTGAATCCTTTTTAAGCCCCATGGGGAGGTCTTAGGGGTTTTTTGTCAATTGTTTTATCGTTAGGGATCAGTGGTATGATGTATTGCTTATTCTTTAGAATGTTGACTTTCGGGCGTATTGTAATTGTGGGAACCCTTTGGAGGTTTTTCCTTTCATCGGCTTTTGAAAGCGAAACTGCTTTCACGGCCTTTCGAAGAAATTCCCTATGCTTTGATCGCGGTTTCTTTCTCGTTGACGTCGTCTCTCCTCTTCTAGAGAAATACGTATCACCTCTCATTTTTCCCATTCCATGCGTCATCATACCCATTCCGTTCATCATCCCATGCATTCCAGTCATCATTCCATTCATTCCATTCATGCTTCCCATGCCATTCATTCCACGCATTGGCTTTAATCCGTGTTCGCTTTCCATAAGGTTGATAACACCATTACTATTTGATCCACCATATGACAACCCAGGAACGTCGGTCATTCCACCACCAAAGTCAGAGTAACCGTTACTCCCTTTTCCTCCTCCCACTGTCTGGGAGAGTCCACCAAACATCAAACGCTCAAACATTCCAGGTCCATTGGCATGTGCGCCATCACCTCCCTTCTGATTGATTGGTATCTGTATAGGTTTAATTTCATTATTTCCCATGTCATTGGTGTCACTCTGCATATCATCTTGCATGTTCGTTTTCATGTCGGGTTGCATCTCGTCCTGCATATTACTCACTGTTGATGTTGGATTGATGTCGCCATCATTAGTTTGCTGTACTATTTGCGTTTGAAGTGGAGTGATTCTCCGTCCATTTACTCTGATGTCATTGGTTAACTGGTTCATGATTGCTAATAGCTTCTGTTGTGATAAACCTCCTGTTCCGTCAACATAGGATGCTACGTTTTCGTGGTTATTACTCCAAGGTATTCTTCCCAGGCTATCATCTAGCTTGGTTTTTATCGTAGCACTGTTCAATTCCTGGTATCTTAATTGCTTTCGATAAGCGGTTTTCTCATCGAGTGGCTGCTTTTTCATTTCGAGGAATCTTTGTTTGGCTTTATTGGGAATGCTTCCTTTTTGTTGGTGGTTAACTGGAAAATGTTTTTCGTGATGGGTGGTTTCTGAAACAAGATTATATTAAGTTTCAAAATTCAGAGAAAATTTCGTTAAACCTTTCGATAAATTGTAGGTACCTTTTCCTTAAATGTGAACAAAAATTATTATTGTCTCGATGTGAGCGTTCTGTTTCCATGAATAGGAAACAGCCATAGGAAAATATGCCCCGGGAGTAGGATCTAACGCGGGAGGGGGGGAGGGGGCGTAGCTAGTCAGAGCAGATATTAATGCGTTTGAATGGTGAAGCGATAACAAGTCTATACCGAACTCCAATGCAAATAGTCTTGTTTGATAATCCTTCTCTGCAATACTGGTAACTTTATCAATTACATATACCACTACCTACGTTTTTCGGCTGAGAATGCTGGGCGGATATCTTCCTCTTAAGGAGCTGATGTTTTTCCGAAAAAACTCAGAAGGAGCTACTAGGCTCCGTCTCAGTCGTTGAGCATGATAAAGATTTCCTCACCCTCATAGATTTTTGTGATGTTTTTCTGTTATCATAATACTGTGCTTTCAAGCAGGAGAATTTTTTTATTTGATTTAACATAATATCGATATTTTACTGAACCTTGTTGACACAAAGCAGGTTACATTACACATGTTGAAGTTCAAACCTGTTATTTGAGATAAGGATAGAAATATCCCCACAGTGAATAAGATGATATTTGCCTTCATCGCGGGTGAGACTACTACAGAAAGAAGCAGAAAACATCTCAAATTTAGGCTTCCATCAAAACTTCTCTAAAGTGAAGTTAGCGACTGTGGTATCCAAAAAAAAGTTTAAAGATTACATCCTTCACGGGTTAACTTAGAAACTCAAACTTCACGGAAGAAGAGGAGAACGAGTGAATCTTTGAATTAGCTTCCAATTCTGATTATCTGAACACGGCAGCTTTTACTCCACTCCACCCTCCGGCGGTCGTTTAAACAGAATTCTGTAATTTTTTAAGGACAACAAGACAGGTAAACAGACTGGGTCTTGCCTATTGGCCAACCTACCTGAAATCTTAGCAGGCCTGTGACATTTGTTCTTTGAATTCCCGTAGAAAAAGTTATGTCGCATCAAAGTTAGACAGAAACGTCTTTACGAAGTTCCTTATTTCACGATCTGTCTTGTTTCTACTCCAGTAAGATTCCAGGCAATGAATTATTGATTACCAATAAAATGTCAAATTTGTGACTACCCAATTTAAACATTTTGAAGAACCCCTTGCCGGTAGGTGAATGTGTCTGGCATGACCTCTGTGCAAGAGCAATCAGCATCTATCCCGCGATTTACACGTGGCTTTACTCGATTTACATTGTTTCGAAATACCTCCAAACAACTCTTTTTAGACCCTGGAGGTATTTCTTTCCAGCAGAATCTGAGTTATTTTTTTAATAATCGGAATAGTCATCCGCCTTCATATTCCTTCCATCATCCTACATGATCATAGTCATTTGACTCTTCATTTAAGAGAACGAAAATCGTCGATGATCAGGAATAGTACCTTAAACCCACTTTCTGGGTAGACGTGAGAAGATTTCCGGCAGAGATTGCGTTTTACAGATAAACCTCACATATGTCTGATAAGCCGTAGATGTAGAAATGCTCCTCCAGCAAACATAAAAGCGCCCCACATTTGGTATCCAGTCTCCTTACTTCGGGAAACTTGGGTGATTAAAATGATAAAAGAAATCAAGACGATAAAAATTTTATCAAATCAAAAAAATTGCGACCCTGTCAGGACTGAAATGTTATTTTATTTAGGGCCTTTCTTGAAAATTAGAGATCGTCAAAGCACAGAAAAAAAAGGTGAATTATGACCTGAAAATGAAATCTAGCTCACAACTCTTTCGATATATTGTTTATTCCTGTTGTATTTGTGGTATACAAGGCCCAAGAAATATACTATTTACAATTTCTGTTCTGTTTGTTGAATTGACTGAAGCTGAAACTACCATGATAAAAAACTTTTTCTTTTATTTTCTCATCACCTTTTTTCAAGGGATGATGCATAAATTTCGGCAGCGATTACATTTAGGGATAACCAAGTAAGCTAAAAGTAGTCATAACATCTTGAAAACAAGTAAGGTTTTCGTAACACGATCATATTAGAAGTATGCCTCAGACGAAAACAGTTCTGTATCCTCTATTAAAAAGCATATACCCAGCCTCATAACTTTGTGAGGCGACTAAAATGATAAAAGAAATTCAAATGTTCTAAAGTTTATCAAATCAAAAGAATTGCGACCCCGCCAGGACTCGAACCTGGAATCCCCTGATTCGTAGTCAGATGCCTTATCCATTGGGCCACGGGGCCTCTGCTGATTTAAATGATCGTCAAAGCATCAAAAGCAAAATTATTGATCATGTTTAAAATGAAATCTATCCCGATCAAGAAACATTTGTTTCAATAAGTGCCGGTTATTCTTGTTGCTGTTGGCCTCCTAATGCGTTCAGGTTTTAAGATTCTAAAGACATAATCGTTCGAAACTTGTCTGCAAATATGACCTTCATTGGATCACAGACGTTACTACTTTTTTCTTGCCCAGTAAACTGGTCTTTGATCTGGGACAAAACAAGTCGTACTCTTCTATTTTCATACCTTAGCCAAATTAAATGAACTGATAATTTGGGTCCACACAGATAGATGATACGCTGGCCGAGGTGTAGCTCTCCTTATGTAACTTCTTTCCATGCACATTTCTGTTCTGACCTTTCTTCAACAAAATACTTTATAAAAAGTCGCTCAAAGTAACTTCGTAAGAAAGTGGTTAGTTTGATACCGGAAGCCTTTAAGGTAAACCCTGGAGGTTTTTCCTTTAGGCAGAATCGGAGTCGGTTTTTTTAATAATCAAAATATGTCTCCTTTATATTCCTCCCGTCATCCTGCTTGGTCACAGTGATTTGTCTTTTTCTTTGAGAGAACGGGAATCGTCGATGATCAGGAACGGTATCTTAACCCATTTCCTTGGCAGACGTGGGAGGCTTTTAAACTGGGGTTACAATTTACTCAAGGATGACGCATGTAAAAGTCAGAGAATCTTACATAAACATTAAATATTTTTGAAAAGCAAGTGTAGCAGTGCATATCTGGCAAACACAAGTTTGGTTTCCAGCCTCATTCGTGAAAGTGATTCCAGAAGGAATAAAATTCATTAAATCAAAATGATCGCGACCCTGCCAGGATTCGAACCTGGAATCCCCTGATTCGTAGTCAGATGCCTTATCGATTGGGTCACGGAGCCTTTAGTGGTCAAAAAAATGGAGCCATGCTGATAAATGAAACCTATCCCGAACAAGAAAGAATTCAATTAATTGTCCTTCCTGTTGTTTTTACCGTTCTAGCAGTTTGTATACAAGGCCTGAGAAACAAAATATTTATACTTTTTGTTCTGGTTACGTTAATTTTCTTTCGATTCTCTGCATGAGAACGAAATAAGCAGAGCAAGACAGGTATCGATCACTGAGCCAAAAACATTCATTACTGACTGACGGTAGGAAATCTACTCTGTTTTCGAAAAAATGTCAGGTTCAAGATACACAAGTTAAACTTAAGGAATCCAAGAAAGACTCAAAATTATGCATTTAGAATTGACTGAAATTAGAACTACCCAAATGGAAAAAACTTTCTACTTTCTTCATTCATCACTTTTTTCTGAACAAAGATTTGTAAAGTTCTATGGCGATTTTAAGTAGGAATAAACTTGGGAGCTTAAACTGGTCATAACATCTTCAAAATAACCAGGGTTGTCAGAGCATAACCATTTAAAATTAATTTGAAGAATACAGTTTTTATCTCTTTGATCAAAAAGCATGTACGAAATTATAACTCTGTCCAGGTTTTAAGATTCTAAAATTGCCCCAACTGTTCGAAAAGTGCCCGCTAATGTGATAATGATTCGACCCCAGAGACGCCTATTTTGATTATTTCCCAATAAAATGGGCACTGAAATACCTATCTGTGACATGATACCAATTCTAAATACTCTCTTTCCCATACCTTAGTATATTAGATGAATAATTTGGATTCACACAATGCATTCACATCAGCTTTTTGTGAACTACTCGTTATCTCCTGAGAGTCTCTTGATTCTTTGTAAGATGGCACATCCGTTTGGCCATATGTGACTTGTTTTCATGGATATTTCTGTTCTGACCTCTAAATAAGATATTTTATGAATCTGAAGACTTCATAAAAAGAACGGTAAGTACCATCTCATGCAATCCTTTGCATCCAACAACTTTGTAACAGGGTGTTTAATTTTTTATTAGAAATTCCAAGGTAAACCCTAGATGTCTTTCCCTCCGGAATATCATGACGTCGGAATCTGTTCCCTTCATATTCCTTCCATCATCCTACATGATCACAGTCACTGTCACTTGATCCTCAGTTTAGGAAAATCGTCGATGATCGGGAATAGTGTCTTTAAATCAATTTCCATGGTAGATGTGTAAATATTTCCAGTAAAGAAACCGGAGAATATCAGCAATGCTCCTCTACCAAACATAACTCGATTTGTTATCCAGCCTCATAACTTTGTGAGGCGATTAAAATGATAAAAGAAAAAGATATCAAATCATGTAAAAGTAAATGTAATGTAAAAGAATTGCGACCCCGCCAGGACTCGAACCTGGAATCCCCTGATTCGTAGTCAGATGCCTTATCCATTGGGCCACGGGGCCTCTGTTGATTAGATTGAACGTCAAAGCATCAAAAACAAAACGTGAATTTTCCCTAAAATGAAATCTATTCCAATCAAGAAACATTTATTCCAAGAAATGGTTATTCCTGTTTCTGTTGGCCTTCTGATGCTTTCACTTCTTATGTCCTCCACTAAAAAGCATTTGTGAAATAATATAATACCGTCCAAGGTTAAGATTCCAAAGATTGACCTAACTTTTCCAAACTTGTTTACAAATGTGATCATAATTTGACCACAGACGCCGTTGTTTTGAATTTTTCCCAACAACCTGATCACTGGCCAAGTCGTTCTCCTCTTTTTCCTACCCTTAGAAATAAAAATTACAGGATTCTATACCGTTCCTCAAGCAAACTTTTCTTTTGAAAAAAAATAATTAAAGTGGAACCCAACCAGTAGTCGAACCTGAAATCCCTTGACTCGAAGTTGGATGCCTTATCCGTTAGACTGCAAGGCCAGTGGTAAAATTATCATTCCAAATACCTTATCAGAGCTTTCCACAGCGTGAGTCTCCTAAATCTTAATTTGACACCTTGACCCTCTGGCGCTTGGCAATCCTTCACTTGAGACTCTTCCCATGTGCACTTTGTTACTAAACTACTCTTAAAACAAAATTAAAACTGATTAATAGTTAGCTGCTTTTTTTACGAATGATTTCACTTGTTCTATGTTTGAATGGTCGGGGTATGGAGGAATATGGATATCCTCGAGGTGCGGTACCTCTAAACGAGCGCTGAGACCCCATGTATTTGATCCACAATTCAATTTTCCATGAGACAATCAACCAACCGGAGGGATTTAAAAATAAAGAAAGAACCTTAGTGCAACCGCGATTTCAGAAGAATAGCTCTCGCAGATACCGAACGAAAAAACCCAACTAGATATAGACGGTTATCAGTAACGCTTAATGATTATGCTCTTTGCTCATCAGTTTCCGTCGTGAGTGGATAGTACAGAAACCACTTGCTAACATCTAGGTCTTTACTTTTGTTATTGAATATCAACAGGGGCTTGCCGGCCAAATAGGAAGCTCCGTTCTCAAGGGCTGTTGTTTTCTCTGGAACTCCGTCTCTATCGACCAGCACCGGAGCTCCTGCTGTACTCACAGCCTGCGAGGAGTTATCTGTTAACATTAAAGATAAAATTTCTTTAAACCAATTTCCAGACTTTCAAAAACAAAAAAGGAGGATAATTATCTCGAATACAGGATCCTTTGTCATGCACGACCTTGGTGATACTGAAAAAGGAGTTATGAGTAATGTGTCTATTTTGTAACTCTGAACGTCAGAGCCAGGCTGGGAATGTTGGCCTAGCTTGCTACCTTTCCCTTGCTTTTCACTTGCTGATCAACACACTGAAGTAGGGTACCTTTTACTTCTCCTGGAAAGCTGTCTCCTTTGCTCTCATCATAAGAATATTCTAACGGATGGAAATGAGAGAATTTTACCCATAATTAGTTTTGCCTCTCCCTGTTTACCTAAGCAAATTTTCTCTTCACAGAGACTTAAAAGTAGAAAAAAAATATGATCAATGGAAAACGTAATATGCACATACTGTAAAGAACTAAACTTTACCAAGGATAGTACCATTAGATCTTTCCAGTTCATTTTCTCTCAATCCTGTTTGGTTTTTTCCGCCTAGAAGTTCTTCACCGATCTCTTGACCACTCCTGATGGCTTCCGTTTGATTGTCTAGGTCGTCAAGGAGTTTTGTTATGTCGCTGTTTCCTAAATTTCCTGAAGACGGAAGATCCTTAATGGCTCTTTCGGAAGGCCTACTTCTTACTGTGGATACTCGGCCATGCCTATTTAGAGGAACTATTAGCAAAATTATATCATTAATGTGGAGAAAATCCTCCAAAACTGTATGAATCAATCAACAGTACTCCTACGAAATGATCTACCTAAGGTTTTATGCCACTGAATGTTACCAAAAGTGCACCATTCGGTATGGAACAGGATTTAACAAGTTTTTAAGTTTACAGTGTAACGATTAGATGGCCTAACTCTCAGATAAACTCTTAAACTGCAGCAAAACAATATAGAACCTTTCTCAGCTGAAAATATTCTTACCAAGTTCAACAACTGTTGTTGCTACAATTGCAATCCATGAGAGTAGCTTAAAGAATTTAGGGCTTTGAATGACACTCATTAAGGTTAGCAAGTCAGAATAATGTCTTTTGAGCTCCACCGCTGAAACGGAAGAGAGACGCTGTGGTTAGAGGTGGCAAAACTCCGGATATAAATTTGAAACCACATCTATATTGGAAATGCCATTTTCAAGGAGTGAACTCACACATATTCGCGTAAGATTCGAAAATAACTGGAACACTTTTAAGATATTTTGATTCGCTGAACTAGCAGGGATTTTTCTAATAGATGAATAGTTTTGGATCACACATAAGAGCCTCATGCACATTTTAGCATATGGTGTAAACACAATCCGTAGAGAGAGAGCCTACTAAAGGTAAAGGACTTCGAAGGGGAAAGGCTTCAGAAATGAGAAAGAGAAGCTGTCGTTCCGAAGACGACAAAGTAAATGGGCACCGAGGTTCCGTATTAGACTGGCTGATCGAGTAAAAACGATTTATGCTGCTTTAGTATGACTAACTTGATCGTGAAGATAACCAAGGATAAGAAGATGCCACAATTATGAGACAGAATTAGGTGACAATTTCAAATAATCCAACCAAATAATGTAAGATCAGTGGCCGTATTATCGTGAATATTGCAATCGAACAAATGCGATTAGCACATCGTGCACACACCAAAAAGGTAGACCCTTTTCCTTCACCGTATATCCGAAAGTAGTCAGCCAAGATGATAGATTTAGGAAAAACAATAACAAATAGCGTGTGTTTTACCTGCGGTTGGAAATTCCTCGGAGCTGCTGGTACTGGCTGTAAAGCTGGTGACAGTATTACTTACTATTTAAACGCGACAGGTTGTTAAGATATCATTGATTTGCTTAAAGGCGGGTAGTTTTGGCGGGAATCTCTTGATTTGGCCCATAATACTCCTTCTAGGCAATTTCTTGATGATTGGCAGAAACTGAATATAATATTTTATATTTTGATTGTCATGGGTGTTTTGATTATACTCGGTGATATCCCTTCCAGGAAAATCTCTATAATCGAGAATATTTTGGATTATATTTTGGGCTAAATTCATTCAGCCTTGGCTCTGAGAGGAGAGGGCTGCCCTAGAAAAAAGTTGACCCATCTATCTAAGTCGATCCGGCAATAAATAAAACACATGTGCCTTCGCCTCCTATAGGAAGTAGTAGCCACAAAATATGGTTAAAAGAAGTCAGAGGGAAATCCACGGTGAAGGACCGTGAAGGGTGGGATTTTGCCCTCAAACCATTTACCGATCACATTAGTTTTGTAATTCAGCACAGGAGGTCAGTGCAAAATACGTCTAAAAATATGATTATTCTGAAAAGTATGGTTATAATTAACTATAAGGATGAACTATTGACGCCATAAATTTTAATCAAAGTTTGTTGATGTCAAATGCCGCTCGACTGAATGAAAGATATCAATTATTATTTTACGTATAAGTTGTGAATTACAATCATTTGTGTCTTGTCAAGAAGGAAACGTCGCCGAAAGTTAACAGGACCTCTCTTACTTCGCCATTTCCTTATAATTATCAAATAGTTAAGCAACAGATGAGACCAAAAATGCAACTAAGCAGAGCGGCGGACTGTTGAGTTTTAAGGTGGAGACCTGAAATCTGTAACCTCAAATATTATTGAAAAGGCTACGGCACGTAAGAAAGCAAAAAAAAAAAAAAACAAAACAAGGGTTCAAATGTTATCCCTTTGACTCTTAGGGGAGGTTAGCATATAGCTCTTCCACCAAGTTCTATACACTGTTAAGAAATAGATATGATTTAATGGGGTTCTACAAAACTATAAATCCAACAGACTTTGGCTTAATTCAGTTCTCAGACATGTCAGGGATATCCATTAAATAAATTGAGGGTCTCAAGGTGGGATAATTACATAAGCTTTCAACTTTTCGATTGAAAGAATTCGTGAAAGTTGTCACGGGGCAGAAACATATCCTCCCTTCATGCATGTAAGTATTTTAACCTACTCATATTATTATTCAATACCTAGCGATCAAACCTTCACCAATCGGCATGACCGGCGAAAGTAAATATTTATCTATGTCATGTGAAAAACCTACCCTTGGATATTCTTAAATCAAAATACTTTCATGGAGAGATGATACCGTCGCAGTGACCTTTACTTCAAGCATGTGACCTAAGACAGATCGTCCAGTGAAATTTTCGTTTCTCTCATTTTCGATTCCGCATGTAATCGCGTTTTAGAAAGGACTCCAACTGTTCGTGGTCCATCAGATGCTTTTATGGATGTGGCAACAGGCTGCCACCGCGTTTGTCAGTGCCATCTAGGGGGGTCCTTTACACATACCACACTTCCGACTGAAATTGGCGAGGCGACACAATAAATCATTCCGTCAATGGCAGCGTGAAGTTAAACTGTCGGAGGTCAGAGAGCTGGCAGGTAGATCCATAATCCAATGAGCCAGTGTGTCTTTTTTTCCCTACTCTCATTCTCTGATGAGCCGGACAAGGGAGTCTGTTGATACAAACTATAAGTAAGGCTTTTCAAACTTAAGAATACTTTTTTGTTGAGAAGTTCCTTGCAATGGAAATGAACTTGACTTCATGGATCTTTATATCTCAATCATCACTCGGCTCACTGAGTCAAGGAGGAACTAAGTAAAAAGCGAAATTTCGTTTTCACATACAAGAAAGCATATTTTCCGTAAACTTGAGTTAACTGACGAAGTCAGAATAAGACTCGGTGCTAGTGATTCGGCATAATGCATTTCTTTGCATCGCATCAAATTAACAATCTGGCAAAGAATGCCTCTTTTGTGTCTTGATGTGATTTACGAATTGGACGATTAAGCGGATTATACAAGCAGAACTTTTCAATGTATAACATTCCTTTAATTCTTTGGGAAAAAAATTCCGTGGGAATGTTTTGATTGGCTCAAGCTGGAGAGACTACAGCACTGAAGGAATCTTGACAGAAATAACTGTAGTTGGCCTGAAATCAAATTAATTAATTGAAAGGAATGAACAAAACAACATCCTTGCTTTGATAAACAGATGTTTTTCATCCTATTTTATTTACCGCGTGAAATCCCTACCCTGTCGATATTTTATTAGATTACTGTCATCACCAAAATAACTCAAAATTGATGGCGAATCTACCCACATGACCTTTGTCCCTTTCGCTGAAATCTCTTTAAATTATTACAGAAATAGCTACTTTCCCTCCGTCATTGAAATATAACAGTCTGCACCTGAATTTTCTCGGGAAAATCTGTCAGAAACAAGCAAAATTGTGCAGTAAACCTGGCGTTATTCACAACCTACGCAAATTCAGTTTTTGTTTCCTTCAGAGAAAGGCTTTATTTTGAGCTATGATATGACGAATTGGTCGATCAAGAATTTAAAGTAACCAAAGCTACTGAGACCTACTGACTGCAAATAGGGTCCATTTCGTGGTGTTCATTTTGTAGAGATCAGTCAATCTTGACTGATCTCGTAATCGACGGAGAGAAATCCTCACAAAAACTACAGATACCACCAGCTACACAATCATAGATCACCTTTAAGGACACTCTGAGATACTTAAGAGAATTTTCAAACATGTTCTGAAATGCTTTTCTATTGTGTATGCACGCCAAAGCGGGTCGATAGTGACCAAGTTCTATTCTTTGTCCGTTTTGCATAAAGCTATTCTTATCAACAGGCCTATCGACGTCTAACGGAAATGCATCAAATTAGAGTAACCATTCCGTCAAGCCCCTTTAATTATAGGACTCATAGCAGAAACTAATAAATGCGTTGAGTCCAATAACTATCTCCTCCGCCCATGTGCTTTTCTAGCAGGTAAAGGTGTTTTTTTAAAGGCATTCAATGGAATGAGGGTGCAAAGCGGGTCAATTTAACTCGGTTGATGTTATCATTGATACCGTACATAATACGCGGCTATTGTTTGTGGCAGGGTGCTACACGTATCAAATAATCCGTCAGCTGCTATTTATTATAGTACGGCTACATCACGCGCCCTGTTTCAGAGTTAATATGGCGTCAGAGAGTCCGTCAACATCTCCACCAGCTGTTGCTGGAAGATCTTTTTTCATCGAAAACTTGTTAAATCATTCGGATAACACAAAGAAAGAAAAGCATCCTGACGGCTTAGCAGGCAATATTTCGAATTATCCCTTTTACACTTCATCATTTTCATTTGTTCCTCGCGCTGTGCCTCAGCTTTCCTGCGATGGACTAAACTTCCCTCTGAGTACCAATCTCTCGAAATTCAACATTGGTGAAATGTACTATCCTCACTCAGTGAAATTTATTGGTCAGTTTCCAGTTTCAAACAGCAGACATCCATTGGGTAAGATTAATAACGAGTTTACACGAAGACAAATACTTGTCCTAAATGTAGTTGTTCGTTTGGTCCTTCTAACACGGATGTTCAACTTGTTCCATGAAACCAGTGTCCAAAGATACTATTTAAATTTTTACATTTAAATGACTTTATTTTTCAAAAAGTGAGGTAAAATAGCGAACAGTGAGGTAATGATCTGGCATGGCTTGAGAACGACTTCCCCCTCATTGTGAGTGAAATAGTTAAAGACCTCTTTCACAATTAATTTGTTTAGAATAAAGCTTGCTCGACAAAAACGAAAAGAGAGACAGCAAAAGAAAAATTGAGCCGGTTTCTAACCGCGATCTCATTCTGCAATTAAATTTTGATGCGTCACCTCTCAAAGTATATCCGGAGAGGCTAAGATTTATTCTTGAACTGCCATGATTTTTTAGTCATGTCGTGTTAGTAGTCTGCAACCCAGGTTGAGAACAGAAATAATCATGACCCTCATGGAGTGTGTACTTTTCCTTGTACATTTATATTTCTTAACGCTGAAAAGCAATTACACTAAAATCTAGCGCTAACATTTCGTGAAACATCGGAGCCCTTGATAAAGAAGGATACAGAATTTCAACGGATTTTCTTAGTTAATGACAACCATTATGCTGCAGAAAAGAATGGAGGAAAATAAGAGTATTAAGAGTAAACTAACCCATGGAGCGATCCCGTTTTGTAAATAAGTCTTGAATTCCAACTTTTAACGTCTGCATCTGTGTAGCTTCCCCACTATATGAAGGCTTATCATTAATGAAATGACTTTTCCCATTTACATCCGTGTTATCCCGCAACAACTGGCCAATGTATGATATAATCACTGAATTGAAAATCAACTTTGTCGAGGAATCATTGTCTAGTAACTTTATAAAGTCACTAGAGGTAGTATCGTAAAGATTTGATTTTTCCTCTAAACGATTCAGGCGAGGAGCCTTTCAAGATAAGACGAAGGAGGCCAATGAAGAAAAGGAAGCAGCGTCCATTGTTTTCAGCCAACCAGATCGAGATCATGGAGAAGGAGTACGCGAAATGCCGGTATGTAACTGAAAGCAAGCGAGCAGAGTTGGCTTCAGACTTAAATCTGACGGAGACGCAAGTAAAAACCTGGTTTCAGAATCGACGAACAAAGTCGAAGAGGGAAGCTCAAGACAGACGAAAACGTTCGTCTTCGGAAATCAGATGTAGTCCCTTTGAATTTTGTGACCGACATTCGTTCCAAAGTGACTGGAGATTTCTCAGCCGGGAACATGGGGTACATCTAGTCTCATATGCCCTAAGTAATCCGTCATATTTGCCTTTTCAAGGCCGTTTACTTGGATTATAAGACAGTTTTTAAATTGACCCTGAATATACGTATGAATAAAAACAGATGGAAGTGTAAAGCAACTGAAGAAATCTCCTATCTATCGGTTTGAAGAACTCTCCGCGTCACATCTGCGTTCATAATTCGGCTAGGTTGTTGTAATAACGCAACATGCAATTGAATTCTCACTACCTTCAATTGTCAACATGCATCCTATAACTTCCAGTATATAACCTCGGTTGCTATATGTGTGACACAGCTAAATGGGCCATATTGTAACTTAACTTTTTTTTGCGGTTTTGGTGCACGTCGAGATGAGTGCCGTTATTAACAGGCACACAATTGACAGTATTTACCTTCATAACTATTTGCTTTTTATTTCGAAAGTATCAGGATCGTGGTCTTTCAACGGACAAAATAACAATGGAATTTACAGATTGGAAGTAATAGTAACAGAATAAAGAGATCCCACCGGTTTTAGGGATAAACACAGTAAATTACACCTCTATGGGTTGATTGTCTATGATGAAATGGATGTACATCCACAATTATTGTATGGAATAAGTTATAAATTCACCAGATATTGAAATTTTAAAGCTGTTCCCAGCATGCATTAGTTTACCTTCATGTATAAGTTGGTCTTGTTAGTTGAGAATTTTCCCATATCATAAAACTTTTGAATCTGCTGAGACACCTACTTCCTCGCCATGAATTTCATGCTGATATTGCTCACGAATAAACACGGAAACTGTTCAATATTGCAAGCCCAACTCCCTGTTGGGTGACATGAAACGGGCAAAGTACACTGAAACAGCATCATGAAAGTGTCCTGACGCTGCAAAAATTACAAAGACTTTACGAGCGGATTTAAGGTACCCTTCAATATCATTCCCTTTTAGCATGTTGAACAATGTAGGCATCGTCGGATTGGTCAATTCAGTTTCGAAGAGGATGCTTTATCAGGTTATAGAGCCCGCATGTAACTAATTATGTCATAAAAGCAAAGAAATGAGTGGCTCTTTTTTGTCCCTTCCTGAGAAAATAACCTCAGAAAAGAGATTCTACTGAAGTAAAAGAACGCATTTTTTCCTGACTCTATACCGTGATAAAGCCACTTAGGATATTATGAGAACACAGAAGCTTATAAATTACTCGCTTCGTGAGTTATAAACTTTCCTCGTGTTCTGCTAACATCTCGCGTGTCTTTATCACGTTACAAAGCCCGGAAAAATGTGTCTATTGTTTCAAGAGAGTCTCGTTTAAACTCTTTTTTTGCAGTTATTTTCTCAAGAATGGACAGAAGAAGGTGTCCGTTATTTCTTTTGTGTCTAGAAAACGCAGTAAATGGACTTAAAAGCCCAAGGTCGATTTAAAGGCTCCCGTAGCTTTCCTGAAACCTGACTAAAGGTCATAGTCTATTTAGTTTTTCTAACTATCTATCTAACTATCGAATTTTTTTTGCGAATCAAATGTACCGCTTAATTTCTTTGACTCACAGTTGCAAACCTTGTATGAATTAAATTGTGGTCGAGTCTCGAGCGAGCCCACCATGACAGAGGCTATCAGGTGGAACGGAAATGAAATGCGAGCGCCGGGACAATGGAGATGAAGGTACCACCCAGGGCGGGTCAGGTTAAAAAATTTGCTCAGACATTCCCACATTATTAATATTTTTCCTTTAAGCTACTCTGGAATGAGAACTTGAGTTTTCTCTTATCTCTGCTGCAAAAATTTTCCCTCTCTATTTTCAGAAATGATTGACATCAAAGAGGATTACAGCAATGAATGAAACGTTAACCAAAGTCTTTTCCCTCGTTCTAAATAACAGTCATCTAGGTTTGCAGTGAATGTATACAGTTATGATCCAGGCTGTGTCCATACGTATTGAGTGAAGCTTAAGAAAGCTTTGAACTAACTGTGAATGTTTGTCAGGTGTCAGTGGCGCGTTGCAATTGCAATTACTATTGCAATAGTCTTGCAACCGTTAATACACCTGCTGTGAACTTGTATAGTTGTTTGCAATGCAAAAAATCAAATCAGATGCCCACCCATTGGAAAAAAAACTCAGAAACTGGCAAATGCTACGAAAATATATACAAGACAGGGAAAACTCATACCTGTTGAAAGAGCTTTATCAAAACTGAAAGTGGTAATCAAAGTTGAATATAAGCCAGAGTACCTCCTCCGTGATGCCTAACAGACGGTTGTTAATTAGTCTGAAGGTGACGTGGTAATGTAGGTCTGTTTTCATTCTTTCTTCACAGACAGAAAAAAGGTTAGATTTACCGTTTGCTGACAGACTTGCTAAGCGTCTTTTCGATTAGAGTCTAGAATGATAGTCACTAATCATCAGGTACATGATGTGCAGGATGCCCTATGGTCTTGTTATAGGGTCTGGCTTTATTTGAGGGTGAACGATGTTCGTTGCACTCCCTGTAGTCTTTCGCCTTCTGCTTGGTTTAGTTTAAAGGCTGATAGTTTCGAAAGAAACTGTTTGGGGCTGCGTCGGTGAGGGTAACGAAATAATTTGGATATATCAACAAAGTTGAAATGGTAAATTGGCCACCGTAACGATTACAAAAGCTGACGTTTCGAGCGTT